GGTTCTGTTCTCTCGAACAATCTTGAAAATGGAAAGAACACGGAAAAGAATAAAAACAGTGGGTTTTATTCTGTCGAACTTAAATCTTAAAAATGGAAAGAGCACCGGAAAAGAATAAAAACAGTAATCGATGGGGAAAGAAGCAATTCTTAATGGTGATGTGGGACTCATTGAATGGATTTCGTGCGGTTCCGCCATGTGGCATGTGACATGGCAAAAGTGTTACGCAAATCATCACCTTTTTAAATTTTGCTCTCCACATCATCAAAAAAAATATAAAAAATGCCATCTAAGCAGGGGTTAACGGCTCAATCTAACAGAAGGACTAACGGAGTGCATTTCGTATAGTTGAGGGATCAAAAAAGTGCAAAAAATTGTTAAAGGACCAAAAATGTGCAAACCACTAAAGTTGAGGGACCAAATCTAGCATTTAACCTTAATAAAATGCACCTTAAGGTTCAAATTGAATGTGAAAATAATTTTCATTCTTAAATTCATTTATTATTTTTTAATGCAACCAATTATTATTCTTTCAAATTCAAATCATTTCTTAAGTGTTAATCAGTTGAGCTTGAGCAAGATAGTCATGATAAGTGCTGCATAGGAAATCAACTATAATGGGAGTAAAACTGGCTGTCAATCAACTGTTATCGAACATATTTGAATGCATTGAAGCTAGCAAAGGCAAAACCATGTACTAGTAATTTCCTGTAATACTTTTCATTGTATCATTCTGTTTTTTCATCATACAAGAAAATAAAAACATTATTATTTTTCAAAACTCTGTATGATGTCAACGAAAACGATGCTGATGTTGTTTTTTTTGCTGCAAAAAATTTTGCAGGAGTTCCTATGTAAAGATTAGACTAACTAGTGAAAGAATTCAAACCTGAGGAAACATTAAACACTCAGGAGACTGGTGGTCATGGACCCCTTCATAAGTTGTAATCACATAAGATGGATCCTCTCTATCTCTTTCAACCCTCTTCTTCACAGGACACCCACTTACAGAACATCCATAATAATTCCTGTTAATCACAGAATTTGAAGATTCAAGTTATAAAATCATAGAAATATTGGGGAAGAATTTGTTTTCTTAACCTATAGCTAGTTTTTTTTATACTGTTTATACCTTTCAATTTTTTGACTGAAAGACAAAGTTCTGGGGATAATATCTCTACTTTGAATTTTATTGTTTTAAAATATAAATTATTTAATTC